GACACCCTCCTCCTGGCGTTTCCCAGGTGTTGGAAGTGTTGGGTTTTCCCTCTTTTGGGGTAATAATTTCCTGTGTTTGATGAGCTGAGGTCAAGGAGTGGGAGGAGAGCTGGTGTGCAGCTGTACTGGAGCATCAGGGTCCTGGGGCTGTGAGTGGGCTCTGTGTTTATTCGAGAGCCTGAAGTGACTCCTTGTAGAGAAGTTGGGTCAGGATTCCTGGAAGGGCATGCAGGGATTGGGTGGTTTCTGTGGTGTGTGCCAGCCAAACTGGGAATGCACAGAGAGCTCCTCATTCCGGATCTGAGTGGCCTTATGGTGTGTGCCTGCAGAAAGAATTGGGGTTTGTAAGGCACAAATATTCAGGGAATTCAGTGCTTCCCCATCCCCGAGCACCTGAGAGACTCCTTGTCCAGGAATGGCTCTGGAAATCCAACGGGGGAGCTGTGCACTGAGGGAAGAACCATTTAAATTTCCTGTATCTGTATGAAAGCATTGCTTTCACTGTAAAGGAACAGTCCATAGGATGCTTTTCCTCTAATCTGTCCCTCGCAGGGATTATGGACTTCCAGCCTGGGGCTGTGTGGGTGCTGATAGGAGCCTCTGGAGCACGAGGGGGGAAGCAAACAAACAAACAAGTCTGGAGGAGGGAAACGATTAGCCGAGCCTCAGCTGGTTGTTTCCCCTCTTGAATGGCTCTCTTTCATCAGGATGTGTTGGGACAAGTGCTTTTTCAAGGCAGGATATCAGTGGAAGACACAGTGTTCCCTAAAAGCCATCCAGTTCCTGGGGAGCATCGGCAGCCGCGATTCCTCTGCTCCTCTGACCTTTTCTTTGCCTTCTGCTGGTTTTTTTTTATGGGTTTAGAAGCAAAAGGATGTGAGTTTTCCAGCTGGTTATGAATCTTTTCGATTTTGCTGACTTCTGTCTGACGCTGGGGCCACCACGATGCTGCCGCCGCGCAAAGAGAACCGGCCCGAATTAGTATGTATGGGTTGTGCTTCGGGGCATCTGTCACCCCTGCCGAGGGGATGTTCTTTAATGCCAAGATTTGGGTGCTCTTTAGGAGTTTTTTTAAAAAAAAAACCCTCAGAGTTTTAGTTGTTTACTGGGATCGCAGGATTTAAAAGGGAGCTGTGCCTTGTTTCTCACTGAGCTGTGCCCAGAGCAGTTGTGAGGAGCGGCAGAGCAGCAGGCAGTTCCCAGAGCGGAGATAAGGGCTGGGCTCGGGTAACGTTGTTGTTACAATGTGGTGTAAACTGTGAGCAGAGAGGCGTTTGGGTGTGCTCCGTGTGGCTGGCGCCGTGCTGGGCACCTGCAAACCGGAGCTGCCGTGGAGATGGGCAGTGCAGGGAGGAACGGGAATTTCAGTGCGAACGCAAACCTCGCTCTCAGCAGGCTCCTGGCTTTGCTCTCTGGTTCATTTCCACGCACATGGAAACACGGGAACAAAACTTTTGCTCTGTGAGTTGTCATTTTCCTGGACCACTCACTGCTCCAGCAGCACAGCTTTCCCTTTTGCCTGCAACTGGGAATATTCTGCTTTATTGTCACAGATTTCCTGACTGCAGGAGAGGAGAACATCTGTCAAGATGTATCATCAGAGCAGGATGATAACTTTGGGAAGGAACTCTACTTTTTCCAAGGTGTAGAAATCCTAGTCAGTACTTTGAGATCAAAGATCCTTTGGGGTAAAACACTGGAGTAAAATATCCTATTTCAAGATATTTTTTTGCTTTCCTAAAGGAAATTTCCCCCAAATTCTCAGGGTGGGAATGCTGTGAATTATCTCGTGGTGCATGATCTAAGCATTCCCTGCCTCTTGTGAGTGCTGAATATCCCATACATTGTGTGGGGGTCGCTGCTTTGTGTCACTTCTGGCCTTTTTTAACGCTTTCCTGTGAGGTCTGGAGTGAGAAGGAAGCAAGGCTCTTCCTGGCTGGCTCTGGAAGGAGCCCCGTTCCCATTTGTTGCCATTTGCAGCCGTGGGTGCCGTTATCCCGAGCCAGGCTGAGCTTGGATCCTGCTCAGTCCCAGTGAGGTGAGGGGGGAGTGCTGGAATCCTGTGGGAATGGAAGTGGAGAATTGTTGGGATGAGAGGTGTGCTTCTCCTGCTGTGTTTTATTGATCTTTGTGGAGCCTGAAGTTCAGGCAAAAAAATTTAGTTCACTTTTTAAAAAGTGAACTCAAAATCTGAGAAATCTCGAGTTTAAACCTGATCCAGATTTTTCTGGGGAATTCTTGAAATTCAGTAGAACTGGAGGATAGTTTTCCTGGGAACTTGGGCTGTGTTCTTAAGAGATTAGAAAATCTGAAATGATGTGAATTTCATGTCTGTCCTCACAAAAATACTGAGGTAGAACAGAGCATTGGGAGCATTGCCACTCACTCCTGTCTCAAGGCAAAGCCCATGGGTAAAATATGGAATAGATGAGTGCTGGGGGCAGTGACTCCAGTGGGATCATTTGCTGCAGGATAAGGAGCTCCTGTGTAGCCCAGTCTCATAATGGAACATTTCTGTTTAGTGGATGCAGACAGTGATTAATGGTGATCTATGGCTGTGAGTGTGGGGTGGTGGAAAATTGGGCTTTGAAGCAACAGATGGTTCCTGTGCTGTTTGGGGAGCAGAGCAAACAAATCCCAAGCAATTCCTGTGCAGCTGAAAGGTGCCTCAGGAGACAGGGGTTTCCAGCAATGTGGGAAATGCAACTTCCCTGCTTTGGCCAAAGCTGCTTCTGAAGAATTTCTGAGGTTCTCATGTGAAATCTGACTGTGACAGTGCTGTTCTGCCTTCTCTCCTTTATGCTGCAGCCCTGGGTGTCATTTCCCTCTGGAAATGTCACTGTGTTTGCCCAGACTCTGTCCCAGGATGCTGATCCAAACCTCAGCTCTTGTGCTGGTTGTTTTTCCCTGAGGGTCCAGAGCTGTGTCCTTTCCCTTGGGATGTGCAGGTTCCACCTCCCTTCCCCTTTAAATCTCCACAGTTGCAGGTTCTTGTTTTTGCATTCCAGAGAAATGTCAAGAACTGCAATCAGCAGGAAGTGATGGGCTCAGAACCTGCTCTCCAGTCCATTGCAGGTCCCAGCCTGTAAAGAGTCCAACCCTTTGCTTCTTTTGAGTTGCAGAATTCTAGAATCAAGTGATAAAGTCATTTCCAGCCCATGACAGCTCAGGCAAGTATCTCCTGCAGGGGCCAAGTAACAAACCAGTGCTGGAAAATGACAGATGAATAATCCATGAATAATCCCAGAGTCATGCTGTGCGAGTGGCTGTGGCAGAATCCTGCTATTTTAGTGAGGAAAGCACTTCCTTTCCCAGATGTGCACATTTTGCTGCTCTTCCCTTTCAGCTGACTCCTGTGTTTTGTTTTTTATTTTCCAGCCTCAGCGAGAGCTTTTTCATGGTGAAAGGTGCAGCTCTTTTCTTACAGCAAGGAAACAGCTCCCAGGGCCAGAGAAGCCTCCAGCATCCCCACAAACATGCAGGTAATGATTCCATCCCCTCTGGAGATCCTTTTTCCTTCTCATCCAAAGGAACAGGTGGGTGACACTCCAGCTTGTCCTGCTGAGCCTTGTACAAGCTGCTGAACAAACCCAGGGTTTCAAATTACTGAATTTTTTTATTGGGATCATTGAATTTTGGTTTCAACTTTTATCATTCTCTTGGAACTGTGACTGGAATAGAAACTCTGTGAAAATCATGGCATTTTGCATGGCTTTCTTTAGGCAGGGAAGCCTGTGCAGCCAGAAGGGCTGTGTGGAATATCTCTCTTTTCCCCAGTCACAGAGGAGGAAATGTCACTTGTGCTGCAGTGAGTTAACCTTTGCCTTGTGGCAGGGCTGAGTCACAGAGCTCAGCACCCCTTGGGCACTTGGGGATGTCCTGGACATTTCTCCAGGGGCTCTCCCAGCCTCCAGTCATCTGAAACTTGGGACTTTTCACTTTGGAACTTCCTGTTGCTGGTTTTGTTTGGATGGTGCTGGGCAGAGTAAGGGATGTTTGATCAGGATTTGGGTATCTGGACAGATGGACATTTGTTTGCTCCTCATATCCTGGTTTCAGGAAAATCCCCTTTCCTGTCAGCTCACCACAGACTGTCCTGCTTCCCCCAGTCCCTCCCAGTTGCCAACTGGTGGGAAGAAATGGCAGGGAGTGGTGTGGTGAGTGTGCACAGAGATTTGGATGCAGATAAGGGCATCCAGGGAAGTTGATTCTGCTTCCCCAGAGTTTGCACCCTCTGCCTTTGTGGCACTTTGGGCAAGAAGAGCTGGGATTTGGGGGCATTTAGAGAGCAGGAGCCTGTGGGAAAGGCACAGTGTGGTTCTGTGTGGTGCTGCTCAGCAAACACTCCAGCACAAAGGGGGTGTTTGAGTGCCAGGCTTGGCTTTGGGTTTCTCTGACTGTCAGCAATTCCACATACCCAGCAAACAGCCTACGGAAGGAATTTTATCTCCCATGGAAAGTTATGAGTGCATTGCTGAGTTATTAGATGTGAACTTAGGTTTGTTTTCCTGTAGATTCCTCGTTCCTTTCGTCTGCTTTCCCCAAACAGAAATGTACCCACTGGCCTAGAGCTGAGGGGACTCAGTGCATGAGCAGAGCTTGGAGACTCCATCAGCCAAACCAGCCCATTCCTGCAGCCCTTCCCTCTGGAGGTCCCTCCTGCTCAGTCACACCCTCTGCAGGGCTGGTGGGGCTGATCCCACCACGCTGGGGGTGATCACAGCTCAAAGTTGTTCCTTTCTCCTTTGTTCCTGATTTTTTAATCAGAGTTTTTCCTCCTCTTCTCCCTCACCTGTTCTCATGGCCAAGCATTTCTGTCCTCTCTAGGGTGCTGTGACAGGAAGAGAATCCTCTCTTGTGCCAGGCACAGGTGGTTTCAATTGATTTGGTGCCTTCCAAATACTGTAAAGTTGGGTTCTCACCCATCCAGGAATCTCATTGCTCTTAGTGCTCTTTGGGACAGCAAAATGAATTGACCTCCCTTAATTTTGACTTAAAAACATCCAATTTCTTAAAAGGTCAAGACTCTGGTGATTGCTAGTGCAGCAGGAGCCCCTTTGTGATGATTGCTGTGCTTTCTGTGCAGGTGACTTGCCCCAGCACCTGCAGGTGATGATCAACCTCCTGCGCTGTGAGGACAGGATCAAACTGGTAAGGGCAGCTGCATTTTCCTGCTCTCTTTTCTCTTGGAAGTGTTTGCAACAGACCTGTGGAGGAGCAGGAAAAGCATTGGCAAATCCTGGATTTCAGAGCTGCCTTAACTCTGTGCTGGTTTCCAGCCCTACCCCATTTTCCTTTTGTCCTGGTCCTTGTGTCCAGGTGTGAGCTGGGTCAGGGAACTGCTCTGCCTGAAATGGGTTGTTGTGTTGGATTTCATTTTCCATCCAGCAGGAGGAGAGACAGGACCTTGCTGGTTCTCTTGGACACTTCTAAGTCAGCCTTGAAATTGCATCAGCTGGGCTGGGCTGTCTTTTGAAGAAATCTGCAGATAAAAATCTGCTGTAAAAGTCACTTCTCTGCAGAGAAGTTGATGCCAGTTGTGCCTCCTGCAGGACTGAGCTGTTTCAGTGAAGGTTTGGGTGTGGGAGAATTCTCTGAGCCTGCCTGTTTTCAGTTCAGTGCATGATCAATGTTTTTACACTTCCTGCTTGAAACTTCAGAACAAACCTTTGGGTTACATTTTGTAGCGTATCCCCAACGTGTAATCTCAGCTCATCTTCCCTCACCAAAACAGCAACAAGCCTTGCTGTATCTCCCATAGTGCACTGAACAAAGCTTTTGGGGGCGGTGAGAGTTTGCAGAGCCTCGTGCAGCAGTGGCAGCACTCATGAGGCAGAGGTGCTTTGCAGGCCGTGCGCTTGGAGAGCGTGTGGAGCGACCGCGTGCGCTACATGGTGGTGGTGTACAGCAACGGGCGCCAGGACACCGAGGAGAACATCCTGCTGGGAGTGGACTTCTCCAGCAAGGAGAGGTAGGTCTGAGCTGGCAGCCAGGCAGGATGGGCTCTGGCAGCACCAGGCAGAGAGGGTTACCTGCAGCTGCCGATTCCAGCAAGAGAAAGGACGCGGGGATTGTCACAGACACGTTTTATGAAAAATCCTTTCCTTAGGGTTTTTTCTCCTGAGGAGCTGAGAGGCCTCAGGAACAAAATGTAAACAATGGTTATCTGCTGTTGGGGAATGCAACAGGTGTATCTGGGATTGTTCTCATGTGGTTGTTTCTAATTAATGGCCAATCACAGTCCAGCTGTTTGGACTGTCTTGGTCAGTCACAAGCTTTTGTTATCATTCCTATTCAATTCTTAGCCAGCCTTCTGATGAAATCCTTTCTTCTATTCTTTTAGTATAGTTTTAATATAATATATATCATAAAATAATAAATCAGCCTTCTGAAC